GATGTGCACTGACCACCAGGGGTCAGACAGTCGACCAGTTGACCAGTCACTATGAAGTGCCCTAACCACCAGGGGGCAGACGCTCTAACTGGTAGGTTAGCTTGCTGCTGGGGTCTGGCTGGGACTGGACAAGATGGGCTGGGCGTGCCCTGCAGCTCTCCCATGGTCCCTACCCGGCTGGCCAACCTCTCGCGTCTCTCCCTATCCCCAATCATGCCCCGGTGGGGTCCCTCAGCCTGGCCTTCTCCCTCTTGCAATCCGAGATCCCTTGGGGGATGTTGGAGAGCCAGTTTCAGCCTGATCCCACAGGCCAGGCCAAAGGACCCCACTGGTGCATGAATTCATGTACTGGGCCTCTAGTATTAATATAATAATTAATGTAATAATTTCTAACATCGTAACATCTCTTTTAGGCCATTGCCGTGGACTTCATGTTTGTATCCTCTTAAATTCATATGTTGAAATCCTATCCCGAATGTGATGGTATTAGTAGGTGGGGCCTTGGAGAGGTAATTAGGTCATGGGATTAGAGCCCCCATGAGTGGGACTTTTGCCCTCATGAAAGGGATCCCAGAGAGCTCACTTGCCCTCTTTCCATTATGCGAGAATATAACCAGAAGTCAGAAATCTGCAGCCCAGAAGAGTGCCTTCACGAGAACTGAGCCGATCTCAGATTTCCAGCTTCCATAACTGTGAGAAATAAATTTCTGTTCTTACTAAGGCACCCAGTTTATCGTACTTTGTCATAACAGCCCAGGCTCACTAAGACAGCCATATTCCCTTCTTCTTGCTCTGGAACATGTGATGAACCCTTCTGGGCCTGAGGCTAGAGTTGCCCAAGTGAGAAGCCATTGGTTGCAAATCAATTCCTGGAATTCAGACTGTCTTCCCTTGAGACTTATTAGTGGACACGTGAAACAGATACTCACTGGGAATAGCAAGTATTTGAAAGGGAACGGGGAGACTGAAGGCGTAATTTGTATATTTGGGGAATGCAGATTCCATAGAATACTATTAAGGTCCCTGATATCACTTTTCCAACTTTGGATTCCAAATATTGCTTAATTGATGATTCAGACCCTCTGGAGACTCAGCACTTGATTCAGGGCAGAGATTTTCTTGGGACCACTCTTTAGAGATTTTCTTTTAAAATATAGTTTTATTGTGACTTGAGGGGAAGGGAGAGGGAGAGAAAGATAAAAGACAAAAACCAATGATGAGAATCATTGATCAACTGCCTCCTACACACCCCACACAAGAGATTGAGCCTGCAACCTGGGCCTGTGCCCTGACTGGGAATCAAACCGTGACCTCCTGATTCATAGGCTGACACTCAACCACTGACTGTTGCCACCCAGGACTTGGGTCACTCTTATCGAGACCACCTTCCTATTCGGGGGCTGGAAGAGATGTTTTTAAGTTATTGAATCAATGTGGAGTTCCTTATCCGAATCAGTGTGAAGTTCTGATTTGAATTTTTTTAGCTGGGCACAATCTTGTGACGGACCTCTCTCCTGAATGCCAGTCACCAGTCACGTGGCCTGGTCACCCTTGGTTTCCAAGCCTCTGAATGAATACCCAGCCCTTTGCATGGGCAAACTTTCCTCACCAAACCCTAAGGTTGCCCTTGGGGGGATCCTGTATCTCCTGACTGACCTGAAAAAGTTCTTAAACTTCTCATTTTATTCCATTAATTGTGGAACTGAAATATGTTTGCTGTGAGAAAGTCATTTGTCTCTGGTGACACCTTATACATTATCCATAGGGAAAAAAATAAAAGTCATTTGTTAAAAAAATTAATGAACATTGGTTGTTTTACCCCCAATGCCCAATAACTTTATATTTTAAATATAATTTGTTGAAAATGTTTGCTGTGTATCTCCTACTACACTATATGAAAGAATTTTTTGAGAGATACCCCCAGCATGCTCTCCAAAAGGAATATCTAATACCACTCTTATTCTTTATTTAAGACTACCCAACATGTGCTCTCTGAATTTAGTGATGATCCATCCAGGTGTTTTCTAGTGATGCAGAAACAAAGAAAAAGAGTTAGTCTTATCAGCTAAAAGTGCCTTTAATAATTTGTCTTCCTGGTAAGTCCAACAGCTGTCTGAATAACTGCTGAGCAGCCCTGGTAGACCAGTACGACCTTTCTGAATTGATAAAATCCTAACCTAAAGAAACTATATTTTAGAACATGTGTACAACCTATTGAATATACAGTTGTTATCATTTGGATTTTCTGGAAGACAAAAACCATGTCGCTCCCCGTGGTCAATAATGGCTTCAAGGACTTGTTGGCTTTTCAGATGTCAGAAACCTTCGGGGGTCTGTTGATATGTAGGAAATTATACCCAGTGCCTATGTTGTAATCCACTGATACTCCTTCCCATGATAGCTCTGGGCTCCCCCAATATCCAGGCGTAGTATGTCATGAAAGGAGAATGAAGCTCCCATTCAGAATCCTAGTTGTGCAAGCATTTGGAGAAGTAACTCAGGCCATCAACCAATGAGGACTGTCATCCTCACCCTAGATCAGTGATGGCGAACCTATGACACGTGCGTCAGAGGTGACATGTGAACTCATTTTTTTGGTTGATTTTTCTTTGTTAAATGGCATTTAAATATATAAAATAAATATCAAAAATATAAGTCTTTGTTTTACTATGGTTGCAAATATCAAAAAATTTCTTTATGTGAGACGGCACCAGAGTTAAGTGAGGGTTTTTCAAAATGCTGACACGCCGAGCTCAAAAGGTTTGCCATCACTGCCCTAGATGCTGCTAGAAAATTCCTGCAAAATTTCCTCTTCCTCTGTCCTAACCATGACATTCTGTTCACCCTTTCGCTATAGCATTCATATACACAGTCATTATTATGTGTCTTTCTCCACATTGGACTGCGAGCCCCTGGAGCAGCTCTCAGACCTCCACACCAGTGACACTCTTGGAAAGGGTTCACAGGGCTGAACAATCCTCCATTGCCTCGAGCAGTTATCAGTTACCCATTTTCCATTCAAAAAATTCCAGCAGTGCTTCTTTCTTTTGGACATCTAGCTAGCGGTGAAATTCAAAAATCCATCCCCTCTACAAGATATTAAATTGCCCTCAACCTGATATTAAATTTGTATTTTTATGGTTATACAAGGAAAAATTTAAGTGGTAGACACCATTATGATTACCTTGGAATTCTACTCTCTTGAGCAGGGTGTGTTTAATAATATTTAAGTCCTTTCCAAGTACTAAACCAGCGGTTCTCAACCTGTGGGTCGCGACCCCTTTGGGGGTCAAACGACCCTTTCACAGGGGTCGCCTAAGACCATGGGAAAACACATGTATAATTACATATATTGTTTTTGTGATTAATCACTATGCTTTCATTATGTTCAATTTGTAAATATGAAATTGGGGGTCACCACAACATGAGGAACTGTATTAAAGGGTCGCGGCATTAGGAAGGTTGAGAGCCACTGTTAACTAAACTTTCTTATTCTACAAGACTTGTCCTTGCTGTAGCAGGATTAACCTTTTTCAAGAAAACAACCCCACAGATGTTGACAGTGGCCTTGTGGCTTACGAAACAATAAGGACAGGGAGGTGTTACAGGAAAGTTTACAAACCATTAAAAACAAAGGACTTTAATAAACGTTGGGGCACTTAAAGCAGCGTCATGGCCACATACCAAGGCTGCTGGGGTTCTTTATGGGAGCATCCTCAAGGTTCTTCCCACAGACCACAGGGGAAACTCATGAGCGTGCTTTCCAATGCTCCAGGAAACCCTACCCTCCTTGGATGGACTGTTTTAATAAAGACTCCTTAAGGTTATAGGAAAAAGCCCCTGCAGGTTTTAAAAGGGGTCTTGCTTCTAATGCAAACCATAGGCTCATGGAGAGATGACTGCAAACAAATACAGACATGCATATCCACGAAATTCCCAAGTATTCAGAATATTTATTTTGCCTTGATGTTTTCTCTGAAGCTGCAAAGACTGCCCTGGAAACCGATTGGGAAAACCGTGCTTCCAATGTTTTTTCAACTTAACTCCTGTGGCCATTTAGTCCACCAGCCTGCTTGGAAGTCATCTAGCTGCAGAACCTAGGTTCGGGGGAAACCTGCCACATTATATAATTCCCTAAGCAGGTTTTGGCTCCGTCTCCGCCAATCCATCTTAAATAGTGGCTCGTGCCCTGCATCCAGCAATACATATGATCAAGCAATTGAGCACAGAAAGAGGAAAGGCCCCACAACTTGGCATCCCCGTGGACATTAATCTTTGAGAAAACCAAATGGGTCCAACTTTTTTGCCAGAGTGTAATAGCGAAGCTGTCACATTTTTACACAAATGATTCTGGAGTCCGTTAGCGAATGGCAAGAAGAGACGGGGGAGAGTGGGGTGGAGGAGGTGTGGCTGCTGAGTGGACTGTTTTCAAAGTGGCTCGGGTTTTCAGGGGAGGGGCCGGGATGCTCCGCTCTGCGCCGTAGGAGAGACGAAGTAGTTAAAAACCGTTACTAGCGAGGAGCCTGAAGCCCAGGGTGTGGGTATATAAGCAGCGCCTCCAGCGCAGCGCGGCTGCTGCCCTGAGACCAGCGACCTGGGCGCACGGACGCAGCCCTTCACTCGCCCCGAGGCCTGGGAGCCGATCGCAGCGGGCCGGTGGGCTCTCACCGGGCTCCTGCCGCGTGCCCTGGACCGACACCCCCCCCCCCAACT